GAATAATCAGTTTTGTGTTGTATGTTTCCTTGACTGATGAAGCCTTCTGGATAGAAGATGAAACGTTTCAACAAAAAAAGAAACTGTCCAGATGACCTGACTGAAAATTGTTGAACTAGTCCAAGTATTAAAATGTTTATTAAATAATTCACATGAACATTTTTCAATTGAAGTACGACAGTAATCCACTAAAGAATTAAAGTATTTATTCAAAACCGATCATATTTAAATTGTTTCTGCAAGTAAGATATTAATAGTTCATAATGTTTCCACAGAACTTCACTTAAAAAAATTTGACTTATCACCAAGAACCCACAAACTGAGCTCTCCTGCACTTTAATGCTGTAGAGTCTTCAGATGTTTCTGTGGGAATAAACCGATACACCAAATCATCAAACTGAAGAAAAGGGAAGATCTGACTTTCTCTCCTCTTCATGTCACTTTTAACTTTTATCTCTCTGTGTAATTAAGATGCACACAGCTTTGACCCGAAGCCCGGTTCTGGAGCCTTTATTTTCCCATGTGCCCTGTGTTCATGTGATCCTGACACTGAATGTCTCCTTGAATATTTGTTACAGTGCACAGATTAAAGCGCCGTCGAGCTTCATGTTGTCAGTGTTGTTATCCTGCAGGAGAACAAAATGAAGTTTGCTGTTCACCTGGAGGAGCACTACAAGGTGAAGATCAACCCCAACTCCATGTTCGACGTCCAAGTCAAGAGGATCCACGAATACAAGAGGCAGCTGCTCAACTGTCTCCACATCATCACCTACTACAACCGTGAGCGCACCTCTTCACACCTCAGCCTGGATTATAATTTGTACAAAACTAACGTGTTGTCTTCATGCACCTTCCAGGCATCAAGAAGGACCCAAACAAGCAGTGGACTCCAAGAACCATCATGATCGGAGGAAAGGTTTGTGTTTGTGCACATCAGCCTGCAGCCGGGGAGATTTGTGAACGTGGCTCTGACAGAGGCTGCCTTGCAGGCAGCTCCTGGGTATCACACGGCCAAGATGATCATCCGTCTGATCACGGCCATCGGCGACGTGATCAACAACGATCCTGTGGTCGGAGACCGTCTGAAGGTCATCTTTCTGGAGAACTACAGAGTCACGCTGGCAGAGAAAGGTGATCAAATCCAACCACTGCAAAAGATCAATACAAAAATCCAAATCCCAGTCGTGGACCGTTGTTTTCTACCTCCCTGCAGCCATCCCAGCAGCGGACCTGTCAGAGCAGATCTCCACAGCTGGCACGGAGGCCTCCGGCACCGGCAACATGAAGTTCATGCTGAACGGCGCCCTGACCATCGGTACCATGGACGGAGCCAACGTGGAGATGGCAGAGGAGGCCAGTGAGGAGAACCTCTTCATCTTTGGCATGAGGGTGGACGATGTTGAAGCGCTTGACAAGAAAGGGTAAAGAATGAACCGCCCCTTGCATATTTTACTTTTGCTGTGGTGTAGAGGTAGGGCAGCCAACTTGGGACCAGAATGTCACAGGTTCAACTCCCTGGCATGCCCACATGTCAGGGTGTCCTTGAGCAAGACGTCTATGGTAATCCCTAACTACTCCCCGGGCGCTCATATAGCTGCCCAATGCTCCACCTGGGTGTATCTCACGTGCAATGGGTTAAATGCAGAGAACTAATTTCATCATTGTATAAAAAATACAAATTGGTTTAAATCATATCTATCTGATAGATTCCAATTTGTAAATATAAATAACGAATCTTCATCATACACCAAAGTTAATCGTGGAGTTCCTCAAGGTTCAGTGCTTGAACCAATACTCTTTACCTGTATATGCTTCCATTAGGTAATGTTATTAAACAGCATGGGATAAATTTTCATTGTTATGATGATACACAGTTATATTTGTCCATGAAACCCAATTAATCCAATCAGCTACTTGGACTACAGATATGTCTTAAAAACATAAAAACATGTATGACCCTAAATTTTCTGCTTTTGAATACAGACAAGACTGAGTTTTTAGTTTTTAGACCTGAGCATTTTAGGAATAAATTTTTCAGTCTTTCGCCCCCCTTGCATGGAATTAATTTGACCTCCAGCTTTCATGTTAAAAATCTTGGTGTTATTTTTCATCAGGACGTGTCTTTTATCCTCCACATTACAAATGTTACTAGAACTGCCTTCTTCCACCTGCGTGATATCACTAAAATTAGAAACATCTTATCTAAAAATTATGCAGAAAAACATTGTTACGTCTAGACTGGACTATTACAAAAGTTTATTATCTGGGTGTCCAAATACGTCTTTAAAACGTCTTCAGCTGATCCAAAATGCTGCTGCCAGAGTCTTAACTGGAGTTAGTGGGAGAGATCACGTCTCTCCAGTTTTAGTTCCGCTTCATTGGCTCCCTGTTAAATCCAGAATTGAATTGAAAATCTTACTTCTAACCTACGAAGCTCTCAACAATCTGGCTCCATCTTATATTACAGATCTTATTGTTATCAGGCTCCTCTCTTGTGGAACCAACTTCCAGTTTCTGTCCATGAGGCTGACACATTGTCCAGTTTTAAGACTGGACTTAAGACTTTTCTTTTTGATAAATCCTATAGTTGGGGTTGGTTTCTTATGCTGCCATAGTCTTAGACTACTAGAAGACAAATTGACCTCATTTACTTAAATTAATTGTTAAAATTTAATCGTTTTCATTTGATACTATTTCTATCTTAACGTGATTTTTGACCTGCCATTGTGTATCTGTTCCTATCAAACCCAGCCAGTCGAAGCAGATGGCCGCTTGTCCTGAGTCTGGTTCTGCTAAAGGTTTCTTTCTTATGAGGGATGTTCCTCAGATAAATAATGTTAAATTATTATTTTTATACATGAATGTTTCTGTTCGGTGCCCTGAGATGACTGTCGTGACTTCGCACTATATAAATAAACTGAACTGAATTGGCAGAAATAGGAGAAAACAAGCAGTACTCCGATATCTTCAGCCACCTCAATCATTTGAACAAACTATACTTTTAAACAATATAAAAACTAGAAAGTATAGTTTCCTCACCTTCACTCCAGTTGCTCCACCGTCTTCATTAATGATCTCATTCTTGGTTTTTGACCATCGGTACTTCAAGGCTCTGATGTTGTGTCCACACTCTGAGGGTTTTTACACGAGGATGTGTGTCCCTGAGGAACGTGTTGCCATTCCTGTCACTGCAGACCAGTTACCAGAGAGATCAGCCTGTTTTATTAAAAATATATTCATCTTTCATCCTGCTTAGATACCACGCTGAGGATTACTACAACCGCCTGCCGGAGCTGAAGCGAGCCATAGACCAGATCGCTGGAGGCTTTTTCAGCCCGAAGCAGCCCGACCTGTTCAAAGAAATCGTCAACATGTTGATGCATCATGACAGGTCGAGCACAAGCAGCCCAACGCTCAAATATACAAATGAAGACTTTGGACTAATTGATTGTTTTTATTAAAATAATTTGTTTCCTGCTCAGGTTTAAGGTCTTTGCTGACTATGAAGACTACATTAAATGCCAGGAGAAAGTCAACGCTCTTTACACGGTACATGTCAAGAAGAAGAATGAGTTTCATTTGAGTGGCTTCACCACAAACACTGATGCTTTTTTTATTGTTGTCCTCCCATCAGAACCCAAAGGAATGGACCAAGAAGGTGATCTACAACATCGCTGGATCTGGCAAGTTCTCCAGCGATCGCACCATTGCCCAGTACGCTCGGGAGATCTGGGGCGTGGAGCCCTCTCTGGAGAAACTTCCTGCTCCTGATGACAAGCATTAACCTGTCCTCGTGACGGTGAACACGTCCAAGTTTTCCTGTCTGTTCTCATCCCTGTAGAACCGTCATGTCTGCCGTGAAGCCCCCACAGACCTGCGTCCACACCTTTAACATTTAACATCTGGACGTTTACATTTTCCATCCAGGTTCCAAACTGGTGCTGAAAAACTCCAACCATGAGTTACCCTTTAGCTCTTCGGATGTGGATAAGAAAAGGATTTGTGGCGGGCTTTGTACATTTATTACTGGTGCCTTTTTTTAATTCAAAAATATTTACTCTTGTATGTCAACTTAGACACATTCTGATTAAAATTTGTCTTAAATACACAGAGTTACCCGAATGGTCTTTTTGCCGTTTCAGATTTGATCCAAGCATTTCAAAGAACTGATGCACAGAAATACTTCTGTCAGTTTTTACACAACAGCTGTTCATTAAATATTAACTGTGAAGTATTTTTGAAGCATTTTATTATTATTCAGTTGACTGTTTTTTATTTAATCCTTTGTCAAAGAATAATTTTTCTCAGTGTTCTTCATCCGTCCATCCATTGTCTTTACCCGATTCTTCCTTCTTGGGGTCAGGGGGTTCAAAAAATAATAAAATTGTATAATAGTATTAGTGACATTGTGTTGAACACACTGTTTACATATTAGTTCTGGATGCACAAATAACCCCCCTCCCACAAAATGAAGTTTTTGCTCTGAATAATGGATGCAGCAATGTCCAACACTGCCACTAGATGGCGCCATAACCTGCTCTTTTTTTATTTTTTTTTATTTTTTTTTATATCAATCATTATACAAAATAAGCACAGCAAAATCTTGCAACAGCAAACATGGATCGAGACCATGAAAATATAGAAATGCACACAAATAATAAAGGTGAAAATATGGTTTGGGCTGGTTACAGTAGAAATTCAAGACAGAGTGTTTAAGTCTTTAATGCTTTTGCTTTGGTATAGTATTTTAAAGTGGACAGATAAGAAGAAATAAAAGTAAAAAAAAAACCTGTAAATCTGGGTTTTAGCATGGAAAATTTACAGCTGTGGATATGAAATTTGACTAATATTAGTATAAAGTTTACAACAAAACTTTCTTACTTGGAATATTCAAACAAAAGAAGCCAAACAGTTTAGCTTTAGAATTAAACGGTAGGTCATTTTCTAACTTTCTATTCACAAACAAGAAAGTGTCTTTCCAGAACAGCTAAGTGTAAGAACAGTCCCAGAAAAGATGGTGATGGTCTCCTCAGAGCTGTGGCAGAGTGAACACATCGGCTCTACGTTTGGAGATTACGCTGACAGGACAGCATTTATGCAGAATCTGTAGGAATACTTCTCAAATCTTATTAATTATGAAAAATTTTCAAGGCAACAACCTTTTCCAACAAATATCACTAAATAAATTATCGCAGAAAAATACAGAAGCGGGGTTACAGACAGTCTCTAATTATCAATTCTCTAATACATTTGGTTTTGCCTTTTTACTTAAAAATGGGTCGGCGTTGCCAATGAATAATTCTTCAGCCAGATAATCAGTATGGTTTTGTACAGAATTTGACATCAATATTTTCACAATAGATTGAATGGCATCAAACACAAATGCAAATTCTCTAGGCTGTACTGGAAATGTTCATTACTCTACTAATGTACAACTGAGATTAGTAACCAGAGAAACGCCATTTCCTGTGAAAACAACGTGACTGCTGAATGATTTCTGCTGAAAGCTGCTGAAAAAGTTTAATCTCTAAACTGTTTATGTGAGTTGAACTTGAACAACCAACATCTGCTGAAAGTAGAAACTGACAGTAGCAGAAAAACAGCTGACATTTGTAGAAAAAGCTGAAAAGAGCAGAAATGTAGAAACGAACAGGATCAGCTGAAACAGGCAGAGAGAGGCTGAATAATTAGAGAAAGTCTGAACGAAGCAAAAAAAAAAAAAAAACCAAGAAGACAGTTTTAGAAAGAAGCACAAAAGGCAGAAATTAGTTAAACAAAATTAGCAAAAAACAAATCTAAAAAGCTGAAAGCTGAAAAAAAAATACTGAATTTAGCAGAAATAAGCTGAATAAAGCTGAAATTAGTCAAAAGGAATTGAAAGGAGAAGAAAAATAGCTGAAATGAGCAGTAAAAGATGTAAACAGGTCAAAGACTTTGAAGGATGTGAAGAGCTCCATTCATTTTCTATGAGAAAAACATGGCCGACAAAGATAAATATTTCAAAATGGCAACATTTCATAAAAACTAAAATTCACAGCAGGAATATCCTGAACAAGAATGTTTTGATTCATGAATTGTTGAAATTGAACAAGAACTGAGGAACGAGTTACGAGCTGAGAAACAGAAAGAACAACAGATCTGAATAAAGAAAAAGATCCAGAAACATTCATAATTTTCTTTGAGTGGTCATGAGATGTAAACTCTACAGGCAATGAGATAAAATGGTATCTTATCTCTCTCCATGGCAACTTTTCAGAGTCAGCTTAACTTTTGGTTTTATGTTGTAGAAAATATTCTGCAACTTTAAAAAAGTTTCCACGCTAACCGATGCTCCTAATTTGGTAAATAAAACAAATAGAAATAAACTAATGTGTGAACCACCTTATCGTTGGAGATCCACTTTTCTTCCGTACATTTTTCAGCTATTTTGACTTTTTGAAATAGTTAACTTTGGCGGCCATGTCTTTCTCCTTGAAAATGAATGGAGCTCTTCATCTCCTTCAACGTTTCATTTCATCTTCTTCTGCTAAATTCAGCTTTATTCTGATTTTCAGCTACTTTTTAAGTATCTCTTTGTTACCTTTTTACATTTATATAATAAAAATTAATTTTCAGTCTGGTTTGTTTTAAAAAAAAAAACAACAGCAAAAAACAGGAGAACACACACAATCAAACGATTCAAGGCACATTTCTGTTACTTCAAAATTTAACGCTGGTGAAAAACTATAAAATAACCTTTTTTTTTCATTTCAGGGTTTTATGAGTTCAAAGTTTCCACTGAAGTCCCTCAATGATTCACCACAGATAAACTGTAAATTTTATATGCTTCTATACAGCACTCTGCTCTGTACAGTTAGATTACAACTCTGTCACTGTTTTACTGGAAGGATAGGAGTTTGTCAGGAAATTATATATATTAAAAAATGTACTTTATGTTATTTAGGCACGTATTCTGTTAGAAATAGTACAATATTCTTGATAGCTCTGCACCAAACTTCTCTTGAGGTATTTTAGCTATAGCCACTGACAAATAACCTCATAATTCAAAATAAATAATACTCAACTTGACTGAATGTGATTATTAGAAATGCAAATTGTTTTAAAAAGCATCTTTGCTCAAATGAGCTCCTCTTTTTTATTAAAAGGAGAGTTCAGACACTTTTATGTTCTGTTCTATATGGAGAATATTTTATATAACATATATGCTTTGTTGTGGATAGCACTTTATACAAACTTAGCTTGAGGAAAATGAGTTTTGTTATAACCAGACTGATGAGCTAATGGCTAGTCTGAAAGGTTACAACACCAACACTGGGTTGCTTCTGTCTTCAATAAACTCCAATAAAAAAAACAGACGTTTGTGCAAATGCTATTATATAAACGTTTACATCACTGTCAGTTTTGCAGTAAACTGTTATTACAGGCGAAATATAGAAATCTGACCCTAGTCTCCTACACTGAACCAGGAAGTGCTACAACCAGCTGCTGCTCCCATTATTGACACTTACAAAGGACTAGGTTTCTATGTAAATAAACGGTGAATGTGACTGCAGAATAAATGTTTATTAAACTGCATTTTCATAAACCACAGTGAAATGTTGGTATTAATGAATCCTTTATTTTATCTGGAAAAACTACCGTATCGTTTACCGTTGGCCAAAACAAAGTTTCATAAAACCAACTTTAACAAGGATAACCTTAAACGTTGTAACAGCATAAACCACATACGGCAAACTCAAGGCCCGCGGGCCAGATGTGGTCCGCCACGTCATTTTATGTGGCCCGCGAGAGCTTAAAATGTCTGATTGTCGTATAATAAATAAGTCAAAAGGGTGCGCTGACAACAAACTACATTTCCCATAATTGATGCCGATTATGTTACCTGCGATGTAACAGCATCCCACCACTAGATTGCATTTTTTCCACATCAATATCATTTTCCAAATAAGTGGAATTGAGAAATACAAACAATGATCCCAAAATGTCCAGGAAGAGAAAAACTGATGCAGATGGAAG